TCTGAATGCAACGTGAATGTTCCTAGGCACGGTGATGTGTCCCCTCCCTCTCCCTCTCGCTCTCTCTTCTCTCTCTTCTCTCCCCCCCCCCCCCCTCTTCTCTCTCCCTCCCTCTCTTCACTCTCCCTCCCTCTCTTCTCCCTCCCTCCAGCCGCGTCTCGAGATGACCCGACGTCCGCCCAGATCAGCCCAGAGGGCTGCACGGCCAGGTCCTCGTCTCCAACCATATCTCCCCACATCTCCCCATATCTCCCCACATCTCCCCATATCTCCCCACATCTCCCCATCTCTCCCCACCTCTCCCCATCTCTCCCCATCTCTCCCCACCTCTCCCCATCTCTCCCCATCTCTCCCCATCTCTCCCCATCTCTCCCCATCTCTCCCCATCTCTCCCCATCTCTCCCCACCTCTCCCCACCTCTCCCCATCTCTCCCCATCTCTCCCCATCTCTCCAGGTCCTCGTCTCCAACCTCGGCCTCGCCTTCATCGCGCACTACAACGCGCCCGCCTTCTACATGGACCTCGAGGCCCGCTTCAAAACAGTAGTAGTAGCTGCAGCAGCAGCAGCAGCAGCAGGATCAGCAGCGGCAGCAGGATCAGCAGCAGCGGCAGCAGCAGCAGCAGGATCAGCAGCAGCAGCGCAGTAGTAACGGCCTTCGAGTAGTATGGACCTCGAGGCCCGCGATAGGAATAAGAACAACAACAACACACTAATAATAACACCCGTCTTCTATGGACCTGTAGGCCCGTTCCCCGGCCAAGTTTGCGCGCGCCGTCGCCATCGCCTTTGGCGTGCTCACCGTCCTCTACACGGCGATGATGGGCTTCGGCTACGCAACGTTTGGCGACCACGCCGCCTCGTACCTGCCGCTAGATGCTGTGGGGAGATATGGGGAGAGGTGGGGAGAGATGAGCAGAGCTCCGCAGAGCTGCCGCTAGATGCGGACTCTCCCCGCGTGTCCCCATATCTCCCCACGTCTCCCCTCTTCTCCCCTCTTCTCCCCCCAAAGCCCCACATCTCCC